CCAAAGACTTCTTTCCAAACTAAGCACCTTCATTCTTAAAACTCCTTCCAAAGATCACCAAAAACCAACTCTCCAAGCTCACCACAAGCTCACACACTCAATCTTGAAGGGTAATACATGAAATTAGGGTTTTATGGACAAGGAGGCTGGTAAGGAGGCCAACAAAGGGAATTAAGATCTTTAAATAGGGTGCAAAACCCTAAAATTAGGGTTTTTCTCAAACAACGTCAACTCGTCGAGTTTCCCCTACCAACTCGACGAGTTGGTCCTTAAGAACACGCGTCCTAAACGTTTCCAACACATCGAGTTTATGCCACAAACTCGACGTGTTGACCTCTAAAAACGGAATTTATTTCCATAATTGACGTTCTAGATTCCGGATGTTATAGTTACACATTCCATGTAGAGTTAGTCATGTATCATTGTGTATAGGATGTTGCTATGTTGTAATATATATATATATATATATATATATATATATATATATATATATATATATATATATATATATAGTCATGTAGGATAGTCTAAGAAATCATGATCTAGGCTTTCATGACCATTTCTTGTTTGGTTTTTGGCTCTTGAGTAGGATCATCTGTTCGGGTGGCTATCTCACCTCTGTTTGCTTATGGTTATGCATTCCATGGAGATTAGCTGGAGCGGAACAATGTGTTGTAAGAGATCTAGTAGGTGTTAGCGAACTGTATGTTTGATATTGCCTATATTATGTGCCTACTTGATCATTGTTTGTTTATATGTCGACATATGGTAGAGGTTGAGGTTAAGGCGGTCCTATTGTATGTTGTACGCCAAGATACCTAATGCAGGCCGACTACAAGCCATAGGCATAGAGGCTCGGGAAGAGCGGTTGGGTTGAGGCAGCAGGCCAACAAACCCTGGGTATTCCAGTCCGATGACTGATTGGACCCATTGCATGTTGGCATTCCAGTTCGATGGCTGACTGAGTTAGGGTATTCCGATCTGATGATTGTGGGCCCGTTATGCATGCTAGTATGTTTGTTGTATGAGGTATTTTAGGGAAAAACCACTGACATTTCTGCTTACCCAGTTGTTTATGTTTCAAGTTCTATCAGTGATCATGAGAAGACGAAGACGGGACTATACACACTTATCTATAACATTGAGGATTCCGTGCTTATTATAATACTCCGATTCTTTTTGAAAAACTGTAATTGGGAATAAATGGTCCTTCTTAGAATGGATTTATAATTGGGAAGTTTTTACGTTAATAAAAACAAATAATTTTTGTTGTGAAAATGAGACGTTATATAGCGAGCGCTAGGGGCGGTGTTCCTTTCACCTTAGTGAGCCTAGCGAGAATGTAGCGATCATCCGCTCCGTTTAGTATTATAATTAGGCTTGACAAATTTGTTGTGTCGTATCGGGTTTGTGTCGAGTCGAACTTTAAATGACCCGACTCATGTAGTTAATCATATTGTGTTATGTCAACCAATTATTTGTGTCAGGTTGTATGTTAGGTTTATATCTTATAAATGTGTCGTGTCATATAAGGTTGAATCACTAAGGAAGTTGAAAGGATAAGGGTTAGGGAGAAAGAAAAAAAAAGTGAAAAACTAAAAATAGTGGAGTTGGAAGATGGAATGATGAAATCTACAGTAGGTTTAGAGGGCAATTGTAGGAGTTGGGGAGAAAAGAGAAGGGAGTGGTCGATTGAATTGTTGACAATGAAAGAAAACGAAAAAAAAAAATTAAAATCGAAGTGTTGACCTGCATTACTAAGTCTTTCGAGTGATATTTTAATTGAAATTATCCACCATAACTTTACTCTGTTTAATTCTTTTGTCATTTTATGTCAACCCGTTAATTCAGTACCAATCGACACTAAACCATCAAAATAGTAGTTGATTATATTGCATTTGGGTGATTGTATCGCAAAAGCAAAATAAATAGATAAACAATCGAAATCATATTATTAATCATTGCACATTAAGCAAACATTATAATGATACTTTAGAATAACATGTATTGAATTCTGTTTCACGTTTCGGTTGTTGAGAATCTTATATTCTTTGTATTTAAAATCATTAAAATGAATATACTATTGATTAATTATAAAATAGTGATTTTTACCAAAATATACTGTAAAACTAATGGATTGAAAAAAAATTATTAGTTTTAAGGGTTTTTATATTTTTTGATTTATTTGATTTTTTTTTCATTAAGCACAAGAGAAACGAACTCCTTTATAACCAACTAACCATAAACAATAAACAAGTATTAATCTTTAGAAATAAACTAAAAACGATATATGATACAGTTATCTAAAAACATTCCGACAAATAATAAACAATACAGCTATTTATGCAAGCTAGTATTAAATATAATTCCTAAAGCATAATCATTCTTATTTTAAAGCCTGTGGAATATGAATATATTATTATCTCCAAAACTAAAAAGTACAAATAAATCAAATATTTTCCAATAGGAACGTTATGCAAGGTGAATAAGGGCCTACATCCATGTTTTGGAAACCAGACCGGAATGGCTGGTTCAACCGGGAACCGGTCTCAAATCCAGTTTCTACAGATCAAAAAATCGTTTATCATGTGAACCGGTAAACAACGGAAGATATATATATATATATATATATATATATATATATATATATATATATAGACAAAATTACAAAAATGGTCTCTGTGGTTTGTCAAAAGTAACAAACTTAGTCCCTATCTATTTTTTTTTTTGATGTATTTGGCCATTGTGGTTTGTAAAAGTTGCATTGGAGGCCCTTTTTCATAACACCGTTAATTTTATCTGTTTGGGGTCATTAAGTTGGGGGTATATTCGTCTTTTTACGTTTGGCGCTCATTTAAATATATCCACTAGCTTATGCAATATATCCACTAGCTTATGCAGTTGTGGAAGCTGAGACAACAAGTTCATGGACATGGTTCTTAGAATGCCTTGGTGATGATTTGGATTTGGATGCATCATGCAACTTCACTTTTGTATCTGATAGACAAAAGGTATACTACATATAACATAAGTATCTTTTAAAGCTTGTAACAATACTAACTATTATTTACATTATATGTAGGGCATAATACCTACAATAGCAAAACTGTTTCCAAATGCAGAGCATAGATGGTATTTGAGACATATACATGAAAACATGAAGTTGCAATGGAGGGGAGAAGAGTTTAGAGATCACTTATGGGGGTGTGCTACACATACAACCATTAGGCACTTTGAAAGGTCAATGGATGAGTTCAAAGATTTCAATGCAGAGGCTCATGAATGGCTAAGTAAGATTCCTCCAGTTCATTGGGCTAGGTCTCATTTCTCAAGTAGAGCCCATTCAGATTGTCTTTTAAACAATTTGTGTGAAGTATTCAACTCTAAGCTAGAGCATGGAAGGGACAAGCCTATAATTACATGTTTGGAGTACATGAGAGTGTACTTGATGAAGAGACATTGCATTGTACAAAAAGAAATTGATAAATGCAAAAGTCTATTAACCCCTACTGCAACTACCATACTTGACATAATCAAAACAGCTGCAAGCAAATATAGGGCACTCTTCTGTGGTTCTGGAAAATATCAAGTGACTGGTATGATGTTTGATCAGTATGTGGTCAATTTGAAAGAGGGTACATGTAGTTGTAGGTATAAGGAGATAACACGGATAGTCTGCAGGCATGAAGTTTGTGCAATATGGGAATATATTCAAAATGGTGAAAAAGCCCAACAACCTGAATATTGGGTGCATCCTTGTTATAAGCTAGAAACATGGAGGGTAATGTACTGTAACAAAATAGATCCAATCAATGGCAGGAGCATGTGGCCAAAATCTAGATGTCTAACCACTCTTATACCACCTACACATCACACACAAGTAAGTTGAATGTTAGTTAACATAGTTTATTATTCATCCACTTTTAACATTTCCTTAATATTTTTGTAGGTTGGAAGGCCAAAGAAAAAGAGGAGGAGGGCTATAGATGAGCCTACTAACCAATCAAAAAACCTATCTAGGAAATTCTTGACTGTTACTTGTTCCAAGTGTCATAATAAAGGACATAACTATAGAACATGTAAGAGGCAAGGGGGATCAAGTCAGAGAGCAGTGGGTGGATCAAGTCAAGGTGGTGTGGGTGGATCAAGTAAAGATGCAGTTGGTGGAACAAGTCAAGGTTCAGTTGGTGGATCAAGTGAAGATTTCATGGGTGGGTTAAGAGCAAAGAAGATAGACAAGGGAAAAAAGCCTCAAGTAGGACCTAAGTGAAGTTGGATACAGATAAAAGCATGACTAATCAAATTATTTGGCTACCTTTTGTTTAAGATTATAAACTTGTGTTGATGCTTTTGTTAAAACATGTTTAATCTAGATAATTACATCTTTTTGCAACTACCTAAATTAGTGATGTAATTAAGTTGATATTAGCCATATGTCATGCTACATTTCTGGTTATAATGATCTCAGTTATCATGTTTTGATATGGTGTGTTTCTCATTCCATTCCATTGTTTAATAATGACCAAAACTCATTCCATTCCATTGTTTGATAAATGACCAAAACACATTCCATTCCATTGTTTACTTATAGGGTTTTGATTTTGTATTTTTCTCATTCCATTCCAATCATTGATAAATGGACACAACTCATTCCATTCCAATCTTTGATAAATGGACACAACTCTTTCCATTCCATTCCAATATTCCTGATCAATAACAAAAAAAAACAATGCTTTATAATTAACATAAGACAAAATACCATTAAACTGATTAACTAAAACCATACATTACATTAAGATTTTAATACATGACATCCCATCCCAAAATCAACTGGTAATATCCCATTCTAGTTCTACACACCATCCGACATTACATATCCAAAATACACTGACCAAATACATCCCCAAATCCAACTACTACTTAGTGCATACGTATATAAACGAAAAAAAAAAAAAGAACCAAGACAAAATAAGCATCCACTTGAGCTTCACAACATCTGCATGAGCTTGAATCAACATTATTTGAACATTGTTCATTCTCCTCAGCAAGTCAGGAATCACCTCCACAGCTCTATGGCACATCGGATCGTCCACCCACCCAAGAAATGGACAACTTCGATCATTTCGAGCACAAGACCAGAATCAAATTCCTGGGTTGAGGTCCGTCCAAGATGTGACTCTCACAACAACACTTCCACACGTATAAATCACCATTCTTGCAAGAGAGGAGAGCTTCGATCTTTCAGAGATGCTAGCTTGATTTTTGTGAACGTTGGTTAGGGCTTATTAAAGGGGGTGGAGAAGCGAACGTAAAAAGACGAATATACCCCCAACTTAATGACCCCAAACGGCTAAAATTGACGATGTTATGAAAAATGACCTCCAATGCAACTTTTACAAACCACAATGGCCAAATGCATCAAAAAAATAGATAGGGACTAAGTTTGTTACTTTTAACAAACCATAGGGACTATTTTTGTAATTTTGTCATATATATATATATATATATATATATATATATATATATATATATATATTCGATATTTATATTTTTGTGTAATTAAAGTCAATAATAATGTAATTATGATATCATCCGGTTTTTATGATTTTTGAGGCTGATCCAACTGATTAGACCATTTGAACTATTGGACCATTAAATCGGTTTGTTCGGTCTCCATTCTCAGATCCGGTTTTTGAAACCTTGCCTCATAGAGCACCAACCTAAATTAAATGTGAAAAGTGGCACCACTTTAAACTTGTAACCTGTCATCTACCTGTATTGATTGGGGTCACAAGACAATGAAGTTCAATCCTCGCACGACCATTAATTTAAGCTTTTAAAAACTGATTTGTTTGATACTCCATCTTCATTATTTAATATTTTTATTGATCGAGGTCCCTGTTCTAATATCATTTTAACATTTCACCCTCAAAGCCAAAGTTTAACTAATTATGAAAATTACTAGTAACCCACAACTTAAAGACTTATAAGGTATTTAAACTTGTCATATCTTTATCCATATCTAGAAGACGATCTATAATTTCTTCTAATACAATGCAATAGTTAATTTATAACAAAATTTATAAAGATCATAATTCATACACCCACTTATTTTATTTTATCAATATCGATGTATGAAAATCATAAAACATTTTTTTCGTAGTATATGTGAAATTAAACATATTGTTTTACAGAATAAACATGATTATTATCAAACATCAAATGTCGAGAACTATCTATTGACTTTGAAAAGTCAAATGTCAACAAAAGTTTACATAAATAGGAAACAAGTGAAATGAGAATTGAGAAAGAAAGAAACAACGTGGCAGGTGACCACTGGTTTTCCCTTCGTTGGTTCCTCCTCCGGTAGCTTCGCACATCTCCGGCAAATATCGCATACAATTCATCAGCAGGATTTACTTCTCCGGCGATGTTGATGTCTGATCGGATGTTGCTCAAGGTCATTGTGCTTGGTGATAGTGGGTGCGTATCATTTCTTCTTCGCATTAGAGTAATTAATTAGTCTGAGCTTTTTCAGTTCATATTAAATCATTCTTCTCTTTTTAGTGATTGTTATCGATTTGTTGTTTTATTGTAGGGTTGGGAAGACATCTTTGATGAATCGGTATCCTTAAACTACTAAAAATATAACTCTTATATATCATAATATCGTGTTAATGTTTAATATTTATACAAAGTGCTTGAGGTGTTGACAATCGTGATGACTTCGTAGACTTGTAAGTTTAAATTAACTTGCATATTAGATACGTTTATAACAGGTTCAACAAACAGTACAAGTCGACAATTGGTGCTGATTTTGTGACGAAAGAGTTGCATATTGACGAGAAGCTCGTCACGTTGCAAGTAAGTCACCAGTTGTCACAATTTGCTTTTTCCCTTTTAAAAGAAATGAATTAAGATAGTTTTTGTAATTAATACAAATAGGAATAATAAATTAATACTACTTAATTAAGCTTGCAAATAATCGAATCCTCCTCTTGCTTATGGTTCGAATTTATTTGAAGCAAAGCTCAAAAGGTTGTATTTATATGAGTTAAATATGCATTCATATAAATTAAGTTTAACTGTTTTTTTTTTTTTTTCATTTTATACAACAAAGTTGATTTTTCGATGAAATATGAGATCAAGTATTGTAACAAAGAGCAAAAAAAGAAAGTTAAATAATAAATAAATAAATAAATAGCGACATTGTGATCACGTACTGGTTAGATAATGATGTTGCATTAGTTAAATGTTTATCTATACAATAATGACTTAGTTTCTACTATTTTATGCAATAATGTTTATTAACCATTCTATGCAACTGCTACACATTATGCAACCACCATTCTACCGTTGAAACATGTTACAGTTAAAATATTTCAGTTTTCATATAATAAACTGCCACTACAAGAAATAAGGGTAGTTGTGACCCACACATTTGGCGTAGCCGCTAAAGGTTGTGTGACACTAAAAAGAACATAAATTACCAAAATTTTGAAAAATTATTGCACAAGTATACATATAAGTCTCTCTCTCTCTCTCTCTCTCTCTCTCTCTCTCTCTCTCTCTCTCTCTCTCTCTCTCTCTCTCTCTCTATATATATATATATATATATATATATATATATATATATATATATATATATATATATATATGTATGTATATTGTAGAATTAAACTAATAAATATATGTACCTTGATATTAATTAACATATCATATGCACAGATTTGGGACACAGCTGGTCAAGAAAGGTTTCATAGCCTTGGAGTTGCATTTTATAGAGGAGCTGATTGTTGTGTTCTTGTTTACGATGTCAACATTCAGAAAACCTTTGAAACCCTTCAAACTTGGCATGAAGAGTTTCTAAAACAGGCTGATCCAACTAACCCCGAAAGATTCCCGTTCGTGTTGCTTGGGAACAAAGTAGACACCGACGGTGGTAGCAGTCGAGCCGTAAGTATTTATAAAAAGTAAAACTATCTTTAGATCCAATTTAAGATTGAATATTACATAACATAACCATATTAATGGATGCATATAGAAAATTTAAAACTAGATCCAACATTTGAATTGAAAATTTTCTAAACGATAGTTTGGAGAACATTTATTAGTACATAATATAACTTATATGAATTTATTAGTTTTTAGTGTATTTATTATATGTAAATATTATTTTTGGGATTAAAATCACAATTCTTTGGGTCCACACACCTCTTTGGGGGCAACAACGCTTTTAAAACGTTTGCCGTGCATTAAGCTCATGCGGTAATTAATAAAAAATTGCATGTTTTGTATGTACGAATATTTTAAATGCTTTGAGGTTTCATTTATTACATAGGATAAAACAAGAAGTAGCATGACATTAAATGACATGATACTCTTGTACTGCATTGACATTTATTTTGAAATGCGATTTATTCGCTCATATAAAATGATGGAACAAGGTGAGACATATTATGAATCGCTCATATCTCTAAAGGACAACAATGCCACTTCATCATTGAAAAAATGTTGAAAAGTTTGTCTAGTCCATTGTACCAAATACAGTCTTAAAACTTACAACATATTTCTAACGAAGGTTTCTGAGAAGACAGCAAGAGAGTGGTGTGCCATGAACGGAAACATACCTTACTTTGAGACATCGGCAAAAGAGAATTACAACGTGGATGATGCATTCCTCTGTGTGGCAAAAACAGCTCTTGCAAGTGAACATGAACACCCTGATGTGAATGAAATGTTAGTAACCTTTCTCAATATTTTCTCTCTACATTTCAAGCTTCTTTTTTCTTGTTCTTAGAGGTATCATATATATTTTTATAGGTATTTTGAAAGGATCCCAACGACAATTTCTGAAACCGAGCAAGAAAGAAGTTGTGCCTGCTAATCTCTCCTAATTTCTACGCTCATTTATTCACGTAGATTTTGCTTGTTTTGTTGTCATTTTGTGCGGATATATAGTAAAGGGGTAGGAATTTCATCTTGCTATATATGATTCTTTAGATCCTTGAAAAAGAGAGGTCCCACAATCACCACAAGAGATTAGTTAACTTAATCTAATTAAGTGTGATTCTATTACTCTTTTTGGTCATGTTTTTAAAATAATTTAAAATAAATATTTATCTTGATACATGTCAATAACATTTCTCTAATTTGATAATATTGAAAAAATATTTCTAGCTTATATTTAATATATAGTTAAATATTAACTTGGGACATATTCAATGTATTGTATTACTAAGGAATAGACACTTGGGAACATGGATCGTGAGGATATTATCTTGAAAATATGTCTATCACTTAGCAAACATAAACATTTTCTCCATATAAACCAACATATTTTATTTATTTATGTGTAAGGACAAAAGTTAAATACATATTTAACATAAGTTTATTATAAGGACAAAATTTAAATATATTTTAAACATTTGTTTCTTTTATAAAAAGAAATAAATGCATCGAGATGCTTCTTTTCAGCTTCAAGATATATTCTAAAACCTCTTCTATGCAACCTATAAGAATATTGTCAGCATAATTTTGTTCAATATAGAACGCTAGCTCTTGCCAATTTCATGACCTAAGAATGTGTTTTATCGTTCGTTGACTCAAGTTGTTCACTTTTACTCTCTTGACCGAATTAAAGTACAATTGTGTTGTCCATCATCAATCTGATCTACTGCATCAGTTTCTCCTTATAAGCTTCAAAGAACAAAGCAACATCATGCTTATAGTCTTTCTCAACATATGTGTTACTTGCCATGTCAATAGAGAGATGAAAGATAAAGGGAGACACACATTGGATTTAAAAGGGATTAGAAATATCAATTTATAGAGTAAATAATTCTTAAGTCAAGCTAAAGATCATGTATTAAGTAAATGCTTCACATAAATGCTTCTACTATTTGCATTTATAGTCCCACAGCGTGTGGATGCCCAAACACCTTGTTCAAAGTTGTCCTTTCTTAGATAAAGTTACGGTCGGGTACAAGCTGGACTATCACTTACCCCTTAAATTACATACAATAAATCTAATTAAGAATAGCATATTGATCAATGGCAACTTCTACCATTTCTAGCAAAACTGATATTGAGAGATAACTCAATCATGTGTTGTATATGGATTATGAAAACATAAAGAAGGTGCAAGAAACATGGGAGATAAACGATTTCATTCGATAACAAAGATATCATTACTCTCGATTGTTTCTACATTCCCTAATTCTGAAAGCAAGGATATCACACGATTATACATTGCTGAAGTCATAAAGAGAACCATGTAGCAACAGACAACTTTAGAGAAGGTTTTGATGGTTCTTCAGCAAAGAGTTACTTTCAATGTACCAATACTTAACAAACTCATGCAAATTTAAATGAAAAATATATATTTTATAATAATATAATATGTTTAGTAGTACAAATTTTGATTAAAAGAACCTATATGAGTTTATATTTGAGAATTTTAAAATGCAATAAACGCAATGCAGAAATACAAAAGCCCTATCCTTTATCTTTTCAGTTTTGAATGTACTCATTAAGAAAATGAGCTTTTATCTTGGCCATGTTACCAAAAACATTGACCATCTTCATTTTGTATCAAGACTTCTACCATTGATTTCGTTGAAGAGATTAGATAAGAGCAAAGTGTCACCAAAATATGCATATAGGTTACTATCATATCTTATAAATAACTTATTTATATATGCAAGTTAATTATACAGTTATAGTCATTGAAAGATGTTACAATTTCGATGTTCAAAATGGGTGTTTGGAGTTAGTTCTCCCATAAATAACGAATAACTGTATTACATGGAAATCAAGAAGTTTCTACACTACATGTCGCCTTCCATGCAAGAATTCAATAAGTATTTTTGTAGCAATTCAAAAAACAAGTGCATCTAAAACAACAATGATTTTTATATTTCTCCAAGATAAAAATAAACAACTAATGTTCTTACAATAGGTGACCAACAAAAAGGATACTTAGATAATCCTAGATGATTATCCATAAACTAATTTTGCTTAACATAATTAAACACTGTGATTGTTGTGTAGATATATGGAACACACGATGAAGTTGAGAATGCTCGGTTGGTGACAACATCACTATAGGAGGTAGAAGAAGATGATGTAATTTTATGTATTCAATAACATGTTGCTTAATGATTCAAGGCAAAACATCACGCATTAAACAAAATAAAGTTATGAAATGAGATCTCATGGGATGATCAGAAGGAAACTCTTAGAAAATGGAGTTGTAGTTAATATGATCAATGAAAATGTAAGCAATGAACACGACCAAATGTTCTTCTAATAATAGTGCACAAAAAAATGAAAATGAATGGAAAAAAATAGGTAAAAAGAATAAACATTATGAAATAATTTGTCAATATAACCAAAGAGATTGTAGTTGATGAACATGAATAAATGTTATTCTAATAACGGAGCAAAACAAAAATGAAAACGAAAGAAAAAAACAGATTGAAGAGAATAAAGATTATGAAATGAGATCTAATGAGACAATGAAATGACAATTTCATAAAATTTAGTTAGATTCAATGAAAACTGTTCTTCATTAGAAAGAATATGTACAACCTTCTTTGTTGATGACATTACCAAGATAGATCATGAATGTTGTCTGCATCTATATCTTGTATTTGCTTGATCTTGTTGTTTGAAATAAGGAACAATTGCAAAGTCTTTTTATAGCTAAAAATGAAATGTTGATATTGATAAATATTACTTTTACATATCTTATAAGATTCTTACTAACATATGAGACTTCACGTTATAATGACGATATGTGATATCATTATCCATTTAGCTTGAAAGTGTATATATTTGAATTTGAATTGAATTATACAGTAGAAATGAATAAAGAATATTTGTTTTAAATACAAAATAAATAACATATAAATGAATAGATTATATGACATTATCAATACATATCATATGTGGGCAATAAAGGATTATACTATTTTGGCGACAAGAATTTAGTACTTCAATTCTTATATGTACTATAAACCTAAATGATGGTCTATAAGTAGTTAAGTACCAATCCTAAAACTGAATTAACCTACATCTTTCTCTGTTAATTGATAAAAATAAACAATAATAAAAAAATAAAAAATAAAAAATAAAAAATAAAAAAAAAACTACTTTTTTGAAAAAAATATGTACTTATAAAATTATATAATTTGGTCACTATTTCTTTGTTAACTAATAGTTATGATTTATGTTTTTTATTCAACATTATTATGGAAAATTAACATGCATATTGTCATGAGTAAGTCTTTTCATAAGTTAAAATACAGGGTTGATATTAAAAAATTAGACTTACGACGTATTTGATAAGTTTCTTAATAACATATAAGGTTTGATGTCATAATGATGATGTCATAATGACGATATATGATCTGATAAGCCATTTACCTTGAAAGTGTATATATTTGAATTTGAATTGAATTATATTCGGTGGACGTTAATTTTTCATTTTTAATTTGGATTTTTGATTTAGGTTTTTTATTCACATTATTATTGTTACTTATCTTGAATTTTTTTTCATAAATAGGCAATAATAGTAAAGTCTTTTTATAGGTTAAAATGGGGGTGTTGATATTAATAAATGTGACTTTTTCATAAATGAAAATTTTCTTAATAACTATGAGACTTGATGGCATAATGATAATAGGTCATTAGATTAGTCATTTACCTTAAAAGTTTATATATTTTAATTTTAATTGAATTATATTCGGTGGAATTGATTCAAAAGTATTTGTTTTAACTACAAAAAATAGAACACATAAATGGATATTGTATGACGTTATGGATTCATATCATATAGACAACTAGGTTGTAAATTATTATATTGTTTTTGTAACTTACACGTTTTAAAATCGTGTTTTGTAATGAATAATAATATTATGAAATATTATAGATTTTGAGTGTTGAGTTCTAACAGATAGTTTTTTACTAGAAATGAAGTAAAACTATGTTTAGAATCACTCAGAAAATATTGGAAGTCTTATGAGATTCAAATCTAATGTCAAATATTGAAATTTAACGAAAATATAAAATTTGAAATAAGTAAAATTTTATTATTGTAAGTTGTAAAGAATCTCGTTAGAAATATTTAGGCGAAAACCTCATCGAAATCCGAGTTATAACGAAGAAGTTATGACTATTTGAAATTTCGCGACAAAACCGACACGACGTCGTATAACATAAAAAGTAAGTTTTCGATAAACTACTTTTTAGCCTTTATGATCTAAATGAAAGTCGTAGTATTCGCTAAACCGATAATTTTTATAAAAAGATCATCCAAATCTAACTTTGTATGAGGAAGTTTAGATCTTTCTAAGTTTCGGTATAGCAGTAGACAACTAAAAACTCAAAATAAAAACCGAGTGAGTTTTAGCCAACACAACCTAAATGAGAATCGAATGTATCGTTAATATTACTACAACGGTAAAAAGACAGACGAAAACGAACGTCGGATGAAGAAGTTATGAATTTTTAACGGACTTATCCTGTCCCGGTCTGTTAAAAATATCATAATAAAAATAAAGTCAAAATTAGCCGATATCGTCTAAATGAAAGTTATAGAGTATATTCTCACCTACGCATGCATATAAAGAACGTTAAAAACAGAGTTCGTATGCAAAAGATATGAAATTTACAAGTTTTTGACACAAACCTCGAAAATGGTCCGAAGGGGTACGCCCCGCATAGAAGCGTACGCCTAACGTTTGCATGCAGGGTCTCGGATCAGCCACGTCTCTGGTCTTCGCATGACTACCACCTAACGGACACGTCCGAGCCACGTTCCTTTCCTTCGGAGCAGCGGACACGTAGCCTCGTACGCCCCGCGTACAGTGAGACTACGTCCCGCGTAGTGAGCTGCTTCGGACCCCTATAAAAGGGATGCGAGGTTGTCGTATTTATGTTACAAATTTCTCATTTCCTCTCACTCTAAGAGCCCTTTAGCCTACTTTTAAACCCCAGAAGCCCCGATATCATTCCCGACACTCGAAGCTAGTCTCGACACTCTAAAATTCCTGATAAAATTATATTTTCAAGTCAAAACTTTGCCTGTGTAAGGCCGGTTTTCAACTAAAATCTCCGGTTTCATCGTAGAAAGTCATAGTTAGAGTCGAAGTGATGCCCAAATTATCATTTATTCCTTCACTTATTTCACGGTTAGTTCATTATAGGGACAATTATATGTTATGTGTTATATGTTCAATGTGTTTTCTCATGTTATTATGATAATGAGCTATACCTTAAGCCACGAAGTGTATGACATAAGCATCACTTGGGTACTAGTATGTAGCCTTTGGCCATGAAGTGTATGACATAAGCATC